GACGGAATAAGGCTGCACTGCCCAGAAACCTTGTGGCAAGGCTTTTGGAGTACCTCCAGGAGAGCTTCATGGAGATGTCCCTAGAGGATTTCTGCTCCATCCCCAGACACGTTAACAGACTTTTCCAGTAGCTGTACTGGCCGCGAATGCATCCCAAGTCCTCAGGGCAAAGTAATCATTAAAAAATGCTTTTAAAACAAGTTTTATATTTTAAAAGGTAAACTCACCTAGCGTGACCAGATGTCCGATTTTATAAGGACAGTCCCAATTTTTCAGTCTTTTTCTTATATAGGCTCCTATTACTGCCAACCCCCATCCTGATTTTTCACACTTGCTGTCTGGTCACCCTAAACTCACCTGAGGTCCCTTCCATTGGGTCATGGTCTTGGATGCTGGTTTGGGAGGGTTGGGAGGGTACTTCAGTCAGGCTGAGAAAAAGATCCTGGCTGTTGGGGAGAACGGAGTGCTGTGTGCTCTCCGCAAGCTCGTCCTCCTCCTCCTCTTTCCTGTCCGCAGAATCCTCAGGTGTAGCTGATGAGATTACCCTCGCCTCGGAATCCACGGTCAGAGGTGGGGTAGTGGTGGCAGCCCCCCCAGAACTGCTTGCAGCTCGGCGTAGAAGCGGCATGTCCGCGGCTCTGACCCGGAGCGACTATTTGCCTCCTTTGTTTTTTGATAGGCTTGTCTGAGCTCCTTGACTTTCACACGGCACTGATATTAGTCCCTATTGTGGCCTCTCTCCATCATGCCCTTGGAGATTTTTTCAAAAGTTTCGGCATTTTGTCTTTTCGAATGAAGTTCGGCTAGTACTGAATCCTCTCCCTATATAGCGTTCAGATCCAGTACCTCCCGTACGGTCCATGCTGGTGGTCTTTTTCGATTATCGGCCTGCATGGTTACCTGTGCTGATGAGCTATCTGTGGTCACCTGTGCTCTCCACGCTGGGCAAACAGGAAATAAAATTCAAATGTTCGCAGGGCTTTTCCTGTCTACCTTTCCAGTGCATCCGAGTTCAGATTGCTGTCCAGAGCGGTCACAATAGTGCACTGTGGGATAGCTCCTGGAGGCCAATACCATCGAATTGTGGCCACACTAACCCTAATTCGAAATGACAATATCGATTTTGGCGCTACTCTGCTCGTAAGGGTGGAGTACAGAAATCGATTTTAAGAGCCCTTTATTTAGAAATAAATGGCTTCGTTGTGTGGACGGGTGCAGGGTTAATTCGATTTAATGCTGCTAAATCCGAATTAAAGTCATAGTATAGACCAGGCCTAAGATGCTGTCCCTGCATCCTCCTTTCAGTCTTTTTTTAAACTTGCCTTTGGCAAGCAGATGTCTGATGAATTTGAAGCTCCTCCCATTCTGGCTGCTGGACAAGGGAAGAAATTTCTGTTTCTTCTGTCCCTCCAGAGCCTCCAGGCTGCTGGGAGAGACATGGGTCTCCACTTTGATCCCTCTCCCAGCCTCCTAGATGCTATAGGGGGATTGGAGAATGAAGAGGCCTCTGCTACTCTTCCTCTCTTCCAGCCTCTGCCTTTAGGGTCCTCCTCACTTGTGAATAACTCCAATGCCTGCTGCTGTTTATAATGCAATTCACAGCTTTTGCAAGCAGCAGCAGGATGAAACTGACCTGGTTCTTAACAGTTTTGTGGCTGTCTACTGGGATCTGTAAAGCAGCACTGAAACTGACCGGTCTTAATTTCACTCAGCTGGTGCTTGGCAAAGAAACTAGATTTGTCCATTTCTGATTCAGGAAGATGAAAATGCATCAGTTCACATTTGGAAGGTTATAGCCTTTCAACCCTTAGGAAATTTAATGTTTTAAAAATGAAAGTTACAGTTATAGAGAAATTGATGGCTTAGGTCCCCCCTCGTATTCTCAAGGACTAGCCTGCCACTCATGAGTGGATTTTTCAAGCTCTTTTAAAAACTACTAGTATAGTCTGTGTAGAATCTACAGTGTAGTAATTATTTATAGAAACACCATGGTATTCTTTTCTCTAACATGAATATATTTTGGATTTGACTCCTGTAAGTGAGCGTTCTAAATGCAAATTTTTCTTTTTCTGTATAGGATAAGGAGGTTCCTGCGAAGAGATCAAAGACTAATGGAAGTGAGGTACAGTTAGAAATTATTTTTCATTAAATGTAATTTTGCTATGCTCTAGTTGTAATGGACAAATTAGAATAGGGCTTTCAGTCATGGTGGGCAAAATGAGAGCTGTTCAGTACCATGTATCTTTCACTGAATACAACTGATAAACCTTCAAATACAAATGCCACGGGATGAGGGACCTCAAAGGGATTTAAAGTCTCCTGTTCAAATGGGAAAAAAAAGTCATTTTTTTAATTAATCAAAATGTTCTAAAAGACAAGTGTTTTTATATTTTTCAGTAGAAGCTTCTTTCTGACAGTTGTAAAATTGATACACTATATTTTCTCCTATTGCATACAGAAGCCTGCTCAAGTAAACTCTCTTAGTAAAACATTCCCTATGTGTTCTGACTGCAGAGTAACATAAAAACAATTATAAATCTTTTATTTTAGAGCAGTGGTTTTCAACCTCTTTTCATTTGCAGACCCCAAAAAATTTCTAATGGAGGTGAGGACCCCTTTGAAAATCACAGACATAGTCTGCGGACTCTCCCAGAGGTCTGCAGACCACAGGTTGAAAACCACTGTGTTAAAGGGATATTAAGTATGATGGGCCAAAACCCAGATTTTCCAGCTGTGTTTTGGACTGAAGGCATGTGCTTTTCTGGGATGTGCAGATGTGCACAGTAGAGGAAAGTGCCCTGTGCATGTGCTCAGCGTTGCTGCTGATTAGAGAGAGAATGAGTACCCAAGGTTTGTTTGTGAAGGGGTCTTCTTTTAAATTGGATATTTCTAATAAAGGTTGTCTTGGGACCTAAGTGGGGGCATGGAATCATTTTAAGTATTGAGTAGAATGTGAAAGAAACAATTCATATTTTAAGGCCCAGATTTTCAAATATGGGTTCTTAAAGATGGGCTCTTAAATCCCTATTTAGGCACTGAAATAAGTTCTGAGTAACCAGCAATTATTAGGCAATATCTATGTGACCAATCAATTGTATTTCAAATACCGCTACATGGCATTTTAACTAGACAGAGCCACTCTCATGGTCTGGTTTCTAGCAGCACTTGAAATATTATTTCCTGCCACTGGTATGGTTCTGTGTACCATCCTTACACGTCCATCCGCTCACACATACACATTAATTCTCTCCCACTCATAATTCTTTTAACCCACAAATACCAGTTATATGTACTATTTAGATTTCAGGCTTTTTTTCTAATGCTGACTTAAGAATTATTTAGGAAGGTACACAGTCATTTATAAATGCGAATAAAAGATAAAACATAAGGAGGAGTTATGTGGCTGTTGAAAACAGGTGATGAGGCTATGAATTATAACTCTAGCAGGCAGTCATGTATTCTGTTTTTTATCTGTCTAAGCAGTGTGTGACAATATCTGATCCTGATCATCTTGCAGAGCCTGTTCTACAAAATGGTTAAAACTATATGAAACTTCTGAGCTGTAACTTTAATATTTATACTTTAATATTTTTCTCATTTAGTGGAAATCTTCTTAAACTTGACTAAAACAACATCATTATTTCCTACATGTTATGTTCTGTCTATAGCCCTGTTCCTACAGATGTCCTCGGAGGATCAGTCTAATATAGTGCTTAGTTAGAAGTTTAACTTCATTGCGTATTGTTTTTGCAAATCTTACATATGTTTTCTTTCATCCAAAAGGATCTCAAAATGCTTCACAAAAGTGGGTATATTACAAATTATGAGTACAGTATGTAATTCACTCACTAAGAGAGAGATAGAAATAAAAGAATTACTTTGCTCATCTTTTTAAAACATAGCCATGTCTAAGATGAAGCATAGAAACTTTTTAACACCACCCAATAATATTACACAGCAGTTTAGGACAGGAATACTATATTCAGTTGAAATGGCAAGAGACATTACGGATGCAAATTGTACAATAGATAACCAACCTGGCTACCTTTCCTAATCCCATGAAAAGTGGCATAGCTTTTTTTAATAAGCACATGTACTCAGGATCTTGCTTATTTGTTGGCACTTCCAGCAGTACGGTGCCTCCTAAAACCATATGTTAAATTATACTAGTCAAGTGTTTCTCTGGTAAATAATGTACATCCAATGGCAGTTTAGATATAGAAAATAGAAATAATTTGGCATAAGTCTCCTCAGTTTATCAGATTTATTTAAAATTGTTCTGAGCACTTGTGATATTGAAAAGGGGACTACAAAATATTGGTCTATCTTTTGATATGCTTAATTCAGTTCTTCACTGAAGTAGGGACATACATCTTAGCAGTTTGCAAGATCAACTTGCTTTGGTTTGTTCTAATAAAAGGTTTCCCCAACTTTTTCCTGGTATGGGGCGTCTTTTAGTAGTGAGGCCATATCGTGGGTCACCTTCCTTTCCAAACTCTGATTTACTCTCAGATTTGCAATCACGTCAACCCTGTGTAACTACTGTAATTGGTAGCATGGAAAAGAGAATAAAGAAACTATTTATATATTTGAACTACTTAATGAGTTGGGTATGGCTGCTTTCCAGATGTTAGGGAAGATAATTACCTTTCATCACAGTTTTAAGTACTACAAGCACTGAAAATTCATTCTCGCCCAGGTAGGTAGATGTGAAAAGCATCAAAAGTTTCAAATCTCCATCTGTGAATGCTGGATGTTCTTCCTATAGTTGCGCTCACAATTCTGTCAGGGGCTGGTTCTGTGGTTTTCAGGGTATATCTACACTGCAATGAAACCCCCCTAGCTGGCCTGTGCCAGGTGACTCAGGGTCACAGGGCTTGGGCTAAGGGGCTGTTTAATTGCGGTGTAGACATTTGGGCTTGGGCTGGAGCCCGGACTCTAGGACCCCGTGAGGAGTCAGTTGGCCCAGGCCAGCTGAGGTTGTCTGATTGGAGTGTAGACATTCCCTTAGTGTCTTGTTGCGGGCAAGTTCCTAGGGGCCATAGTTGTCTTTTAAAGACAAATCTGAAATGTCGCTCCCTGCTGAAGTGAAAGGGCTTCTAACCAGCTCATCATTGTATGTGTCTTTGATGTTTTATTCACAGATGTTCTGTTTTCAGATGAGTCAGGTGTTCTTGAATACATTCTTTTACTTCAAATGGGAAGATGTTTGTTGGCTTCAGTGAGAAAATTATCTAGGCACCTCAAGATTATCCTTATTTACTTGCAGAGTCCCCTAAGTTTTTTTTTTTTTCTTAAATCAGGGCATCAGACATGTTCTCTGTGTTAAATAGCATCACAGGCTGTCCTTGCAAACTCAAGCTGAGTTCCCTCTGTCAAGTGAAAACTTCTGGTAAATAAGCCAGCAGGGTGAGCCATAAGGGGTCATCAAAACAGGCGGGCGAGGCAAGTGAGTGACTTGACAAAGAGACTGGCACTTTGGGAGGGAGTTCAAAAAGGTGTGTCGGTGCTTTCTCATGATAAAGCCAAGACATACCAGTGTGAAGGAGGAACTTGGCAGCGTTGATCACTCAGCACAGCAAAAACATTAGGATTCATGGGGTAAGCTCTAAGGAAGTTAACTGTCTTCCCAGAAGCATCCTTCATGTTTTTCAGATGTGCTGGTGATTTCCTTGTGATTAGGGCTTCCTGGTCTATACAAGGCGCCATTGGTGCTACAAAGCAGCTATATGTAACCAGACCTCTGTGATGCCATTGCTTGTGCTCCATCTGTGGAGACCATCACAATGTTCCCTCTCAGGAATGCTTTCCATACGATATTTGAAAAACTTTCCCTGCAGTTGTTGCAGGTTAGCAGAGACGGAGAACAAAGGAAGTCATCTTGCACTCTGCCACCAGATTAATATCTAACCTAGGAGAGAGAGTTTGCAAAGGAAGCCACATCAGTGAATTAATTAGACTTAACTGCAAAGAAATAGTTGCTTCAAGCTTGAGAAGATTGATGCTACATTTTCACCAATCGCAGAGATTCTTCTTGGTCCTGGATTTTTCACAATTTTAAAGTGTCCAATTACGTGCTTATCTTGTCACTGAACATCACTGAAACCAATTCTTTGTACAGTTGAAGTAAAAACTCTTCCCTTGTGCTATCAGACTCCCCTTCGCTTTTCAGTGCAAAGACTCACAAGATGAGATGTCTGCCTGCCTGTTGACTTCAGAGTGGACATTGTACTTTTTTGGCCATGTAGCTCTGTTAACTTATACTGGAAAAACTCCAGAGGCTTGTTTTTCAGGCCAGAATGTTTGGTCTCTAGATATAGCTGGAGATTGTTGGTTTGATTTTCATTGGCCAGCACCTCCTGATACATTGGGGTTGGGGATAGGGCTTATATTGTGAACAAGTCCATAGTAAGCACATCTCCATATATCTGTGATCATGTTTCATTATAGTCCTTCTTTTCATCCCTCTTTTCTCTTCTGTAGTTGAAGGCACTGGGCTGTGGCTTGCTCTGTTCACTCTCCCTTAGAACTTTGGCTCAGACCTGTGATGAGAATTGGTAAAATCACAAATGAGCAGCAGCTGCATTAAACAGTCACAGAAGAGAAGCAGATACAGTATAGCTGGTGTCGTCTATCTCTGCCCTTGTCATGTTACAAAGCTTAAGTGAGGTATGTCAGCAGGTCCAGAATGCTTTTCTTTTTTTATTAATTATATTTTCCAAAAGCACTTTGCTGTACAAGTGGCTAGAGTAACTGCAGACTTTTTCTGGAAAAACTCACCATCCTTTTTGTTCCTCATTTTATCTCCTTCTCTTCCCATCGGTTTTGTTCTCTTCCTCATTCTCGGCACAGGCTGCCCTGCGTTCCTCTTCTACTCAAAATTGGTTTATCCCTTAAAAAGTTCTGCAGCAGCCACTAAACTCTCAATTTCCCATACCCCAGGCAAAAATCAAATTTCTTCACCTCTTTTGAATGATTAGAACCCATTCAAAAGAGGTTCTAATCCCTGCCCCACATCCACTGGTCACAGGATCAGGAGCTCAGCAGGACTGGGGAAGGAAGTGAGCCGCTCAGCAGGGAAAGGGTGATTTACCAAGAGGAGAGGAGGGTTGTTTGTGAGAAGGCAGCTTGTAGGGAGGTGGTCCAGGAAAGGAGCCAGAAACAGATTTCTTCAAGTAAACTATTTGCAGCCCTGTTTCCTCCTTCTCCTGCCCTTCCTGAAACTGCTCCTTTGGCTATGGGTTGCTCTTAGACAAAAGATTGTAATTTAAGGGATACTACTAAATATTTTTTAAGTTGTTTTCTTCCTGTTAGCATATTGTATCTTAGAAACTAGAAAATGTAATGCTTTAATTTTTCCCCATTTGGCAACCAATGATTCCCCCTCTCAGCTCCCAGGGTATTTAATGGAGCATAAGCGAAAATGATTGTACTCTATAGTAACGTGAATGAACAATACAGTCTCGGCTCTTATATATAAGTAGAGAATCTGTGTGTCCCTGAGAACTGAGAGGATCCAGCTAACATGGGCTGTCCCTGTCTGTATTACAAAAAACTGTTTTATCCTGTTTTTTCCCTACGCCCCAGCAGACTGGTCTTCCAAAGAAGCCACCACCCAGCAGAGCTGGTGAAACTGTAAGTAGGCGGTGTGAACAAATATGCACTTCAGGGGCCACCTCCACCCAGGTCTATCATACAGCCTGCCTTCCATGAAGCCCCTCACACACACGTATGAGAGTCTGCACCATGTGGAGTCTGGGGCATTGCTCCACGTGGCGAGCCTAGAGGGTGCTCACTATGTACAGGAGGCACCCGTCAGACCAGGGTTGGCATCTGTACTTCTGCTTGCTTCCCCTGTAACAGTGGGGGGCAGCACGCTGTGGCAAGCCATAACGGATGGTGGAAGCAAGAGATATTCATGGGTGGAAAAGCAGGACTGAGTCTGTGAAGGAGAGAATAAGGGGGGATGCTGGGAAGATATAAGGGTGAAATCTAGGAAGGGAAGGGAGAGGAGAATGGAGAAGAGAAAGTGAGGGAAATGAAGAGAAGACACAACATAGAATATATGAAGGAGGAATGAGCAGCCTTTTCTCTTTCCTTTCATCTCCAGCTGTCAAATCCTCCTGTACATACCTCCCTAATCCCCACTAAAACCATCCCCTCATGAACCCTCTGCACCCAGGGCAAGGGCTCTGGTTCATCCCTGGAAAAAATTGATTGTCCAATAAACAAACTGTTTTTATTTTTAAACATAAGGATTGCATGAAGCTATTAAACTCTTATAAACATCCGCAGCAGCTGAAACTTGGGCAGCTCAACCTCTCAGAGGCTTTTTGATTTTTTTTTTTGGCATATGAATTAATCTATTAAGCTGTTATATTTAGTGCTCTTGACCATTTGTGTTCAACCGATATCAGAAATCCTGAGGGCCAGATTCTTGTCTGCAATAAATCAATGTAGCTTCACTGAAATAACTTGTGCTACACCAATTTACGCTAGCTGAGGCTCTGGCCCTGAGAGTCTTCCTTGACTCACTGCAGGCCTGAAGTAGTTCTTGATCAATTTAGGTTTTTAAAAAATCTCTATATTCTCCAGACGCCACAGTTACAGATAGAGTCAGGAAAATGTGCAGTTACAACACAGGTGTACGGATAAATTTCCTGCAGTCTCCTTCACAACAAAAATAAGGTTCTGGTGGCAATGAAAGTTTATCCTGTAATATTTCAGCAAGACTTTATAGGTCCTTTTCCTGTTGTAATTATGAAAGTCAAAATGATTATTTGTTTAGTCTTGTGTTTTTTTTTTTAAGCGCTCCACACCAGAATTGGCCTTAATATTTTTGGAGTGGGCCCGTTAAACAGTGTTTTGCTCTCTCTCCCCAACTGCAAGAGCCTGTCCACCATGATCGCAATGCTACTCAGTAAGCCCAATGGTTCTGGGGGAGAGTTAGAGATGGTTGTCAGATACCCCCCCATAACTGACTCCTTGCATTCCTGTCCTTATCTGCTTTTGTCTCTTATCACACTTCCATCCCAATTTTGTCTCCTTCAGTGCTGCCAGCTTTGAACTATGTTCTTTCTTAACTTCTTTCATAACTATGTTCTCTTTCTTCAAGATGCTCTTTACCCAGGGAACATTCTCATTGAACTGATTCTTAAGGACTCTGTGCTTTCTTCCTTGCTTATTAGCTTAGGTTGTGGACTTTTCAGGAGATGGATTCTGTTTTATCAATTTGGACAGCACATTGTGGGCATGACCATTATACAAATTAATATAGAATGTGTTTTGGGATCTTCTGGCTATGGGAGGACTGTGAATTACTTGCGACCTTGAGGAAAAATCAGTGAGAGGTGACTGTTGAGATTCCCTCTTGCACTTTTTAGTTCATCTCTCAAATTTGGGGAAGAGGATGCAAATTTGGGACTGCAGAGGCTGGCGTTGATCAGACTATATTGTACCAGCTCTGGAAATGTATTTGTTCGTTAATACATCAGATCATTAGGAGCAAAAATCCGGGTACTTCATGTCAGTTTCAGGGTTAACTGCACCTTTGACACTATTTCCCCCCGCCAACCCAGTCTTCCTTAAGCGCCCACTTAAGGTTTAGGCTCCCAGCAATCACCTCTCTTGTGTGGAGACCCGTGTGTCTCTCCGTCCAGACTGGGGGTTAGGCTTGCAGTCCCTCTACACCTCACTGTGATATCCCCAGCAAGCCAGTCTGGCTCACAGCCAGAACCTGTATTGCTTTCTGTCCAAAGGCTATGAACAGCATATTGCCAGCAGTTACAAGTTATCTCACAGCTCTTTCTAAGTAAGCACAGCTATTCTTAAGGTAAAAGCATCTGTCATAACTATAAAGGGAAGGGTAACAGCTCTCCTGTGTACAGTGCCATAAAATCCCTCCTGGCCAGAGACTCCAAAATCCTTTTCCCTGTAAAGGGTTAAAAAGCTCAGGTAACCTGGCTGGCATCTGACCCAAAGGACCAATAAGGGGACAAGATACTTTCAAATCTTGGCGGGGGGAAGGCTTTTGTTTGTGCTCTTTGTTTTGGGAGTTCGTTCGCTCTTGGGACTGAGAGGGACCAGACATCAATCCAGGTTCTCCACATCTTTCTAAACAAGTCTCTCCTATTTCAAACTTGTAAGTAAATAGCCAGGCAAGGCATGTTAGTTTTCCTTTGTTTTCTCAACTTGTAAATGTACCTTTTACTAGAGTGTTTATCTTTGTTTGCTGTACTTTGAACCTGAGGCTAGAGGGAGGTCCTCTGAGCTCTTTAAGTTTGATTACCCTGTAAAGTTATTTTCCATACTGATTTTACAGAGATGGTTTTTACCTTTTTCTTTAATTAAAAGCCTTCTTTTTAAGAACCTGATTGATTTTTCCTTGTTTTTAGATCCAAGGGGGTTGGATCTGTATTCACCAGGAGTTGGTGAAAGGAAGGAAGGGGGATGGTTAATTTCTCCTTGTTTTAAGATCCAAGGGGTTTGGATCTGTATTCACCAGGGAATTGGTGAAGAGTTTCTCAAGGCTTCCCAGGGAAGGGAATCCACTTGGGAATGGTGGCAACGGACCAGATCTAAGCTCGTAGTTAAGCTTAGAAGTTTTCATGCAGGCCCCCACATTTGTACCCTAAAGTTCAGAGTGGGGAAACAGCCTTGACAGCATCACAGAGGAAACATATAAAAACAATCAAAGTTCCTACATGCTTATCAGAGATCACTCCAACTCCAGCATAGAGCTCTGGTAGATGTCAGTCTTTGCAATCCTTCCAGGGGTTGGGTTCTCCTAGGATCCAAGGTCCTGTCTGTTTGCTGAATCAAAAGAAAGCCATGCATTAGTTTAAACTCAGCCTTTTTTGTACCAAAAGCCCTTTCTTTGTCTGTTGGTTTCTGGAAAAAGCAGTTTGAACTGGTAAATGCAAACCTCAGGGAGAGGTATCTTTCTGGAGGTGTTTACAACCTGAGTGATTCACCTTAATCACCAACCCCACCTGGAGGAACTGTGGTAGCCCATCCCCCTGGAGTTGAATACAGCCCTTGGCCCACAATGATACAAAAACCATACCTCAACTCAATACAATGTGGTCCCCAAAGATATTGCATGAGGTTGCAATATCTATTACACATTTTACATTCATGTAAGAAGTGTCTTAGGGTCCTAGGCAAGGTGACATTTTGGGACAAATTCAAGCCTGGTGCAACTCCAGTGAAGTCAGTTTGGTGGTTCATCTTTCTTTTTAAGAAATCATGTTAGGCTTTGTCTACATGGGCACTTTCGTCGTTAAAACTTGTGTCGCTCAGGGGTGTGAAAAAACACCCCTCTGAACAACAAAAGTTTTAATGATGAAAAGCACTGTTGTGGACAGTGCTTCATCGGCAGGAGCTGTGCTCCCGATGAGGAAGCTACCGCCCCCCGTTGGAGGTGGTTTTATTTTGTTGCCAGGAGAGCTCTCTCCTGGCAATTAAAGAGCAGCTACACAGTGCACCTTACAACGGCACAGCTGCAGCAGCACAGCCATGCCGTTGTAAGGTGCGCTGTGTAGACATAGCCTTAGTTTCTGCAAAGGAGTGGTGTGTCTGTTGTTGAGTGGAGCAATAGCACTGTGATGCATCTTTAATGTAAACAGAAATGTTATAATCAATAATACACCATAAATAAATATTTTTATTTTTGCCGTTGCTTTATGTTTCTAACATTTCTGTTACGCAGAATGAATGAACTCGCACGGAAAATGATTAAAAGACAAAAACACCACATCACCCGTGGGTGAACACTTCTCACAAAGATTGTTCTCTACCGGACCTATCATCCTCATCCTCAAAAAAAACCTGCACAACACTTTCAAAAGACAAGCCTGGGAGCTTAAATTCATAACTTTGGTCGATACTAAAAATCATGGTCTTAATAGAGACACTGGATTTATGGTATATTATAACACTCTGTCACCCACTAACGGTCCTTCCTCTGCTGCTCTTCCCTCCCCCTCCACCCTTTCTCTCCTTATGACTAGAGGGGTGTAATTGGGCCACTTCACTTTGAATCATCCCTTGAGATATGTATTAACTACTTATGCTAAACAATCAATTCAGGCCTTATATTTAGCAGTGACACTTTGAGATAGGGCAGGTGTACAGGTCTTGCAGCAAGGGAGATTTAGGTTGGACATTAGGAAAAACTTCGTAACTGTCAGAGTGGTTAAGTGCTGGAATAAATTGCCTAGGGAGGTTGTGGAATCTACATCATTGGGGATTTTTAAGAGCAGGTTGGACAAATACCTGTCAGGGATGGTCTAGATAATACTTAGTCCTGCCACGAGTGCAGGGGACTGGACTAGATGACCTCTCGAGGTCCCTTCCAGTTCTGTGATTCTACACTTAAATTGAAGCGGTGCTGCTGTAGCGTTTCAGTGAAGACAATACTATGCTGATGGGAGAGCTTCTCCCGTTGGCATAGTTAATCCACCACCGCAAGAGCCGGTTACTGTGTTGACAGGAGAAGCCCTCCCATCGACTGTCTACACCAGGGATTGGATTGGTATAACTGCGTCAATTAGGGTTGGGGATTTTCATACCTCTGAGTTACGTAGTTATCCCAATGTAAGTTTGTAGTGTGACCTGGCCTTAGTTTCCCAGACCTGAAGAAGAGCTCTGTGTAAGCTTGAAAGCTTGTCTGTCCCACCAACAGAAGTTGGTTCAATAAAAGATATTGCCTCACCCACCTTGTCACACAGAAAATAAGGCATAGGAACACAGGAATTGTCATATGGATCAGAGCAGTTTTGCCCAGTATCCTACACTCAACACTGGCTGGAACCAGCTGCTTCAAAGCAAAGCGCAAGAAACCCCGCAATAAGCAATTATGTGATAACCTGCCCCCAGGGATAATTTCCTCTTAACCTACATTAATTAGAGGTTAAATTTTGCCCTATTCTATTCTCTGTTGGATCTTAGATACTACGGAGATGAGTGTGATATGAGCATCTTCCAGTAGTGCATTTAGCACTGTAACTACCCATCTGTCACGTGTTGTTTGTTCTCCTACCCTCTCCCCAGAGGGCGAAGCGTTTGCACTGTAGTGTCTTGACAGAGTATGTGGGGTTATTTTGTTCTGTGTTTATGCTTGAGTTTATATTCCTTCCAAAACGCCTGTTTATTTTTTAAATATCCATTTTATCTAAAACGTCCAATCCTTTTTGAATCCTGCTAAGCTGTGGGCTTCAATGATATTCTGTGGCCATGGGTTCCACAGGCAAATTGAGCATTGTGTGAAGAAATATATCATAGACCAGACTGAAAAGCATCATGGAGATTTCTAAGTCTTCCTTAATAGTTACCCTGTCTTCTACTTTTGGGGAAGATGGAATAATGTGAGAAACCATAGTGTTGTAAATATGTTGCATCTAGAAAATTAAATGTCTGAGTTGTCAGTGTCTGCAAGTATTGCTGTCAGATACAGAAGAAATAACTTATCACACAAAATGTTTATCACCAACTTAGCTTTATTTTAAATACTTCAATTTTTTTTCTTTTTAGGTAGTGTTTAACATGGTTGTAGAAGTGCCTCGCTGGTCAAATGCTAAAATGGAGGTAATTAAAAAAACAACCTTGGTTTATTAAATCTCATAGACTCATAGACTTTAAGGTCAGAAGGGACTATTATGATCATCTGGTCTGACCCCCTGCATGCTGCAGGCCACAAAACCGTCCCTACCCTTCCCTTGACTCTGCTGATGAAGTCCCCAAATCCTGTGTCTTGGTGACTTCAATTGGCAGAGAACCCTCCTGCTAGCGATCCCTGCCCCATGCTGCGGAGGAAGGCGAAAAACCTCCAGGGCCTCAGCCAATCTACCCTGGAGGAAAATTCCTTCAAAATATAGATATTTGCAGAATTGATGGTGATGTAATGGTTTCCAACATTTTAGAAAGTCAGTTTATTCAGTTGTATCCTTTATATGTACAATTCTTACTACTAAAATGTTCTTTTGTGGTTATTCATGCTGATGTTTTTCTTGTAGCTAAAAAAAATTAGGGGTCTAGTTTTGTCTCCCTTACTCGCATAGAGTATTTCCTTATTCCTCAATAACCCCATTGATTTCAAGACGCAGAGTAAGGTGCTATTCAACATGAATAAGAGGGGCAGAACAGGATAGTTGCAGGATAGTGTCCTGAACTCAATCTTCCTCTCAAATACACACGTACCGTAATTTATTTAATTTTGGATTTAATCCCTCCATGAGCTTTACTGGTGAATAAATTATAGTGTGCCAGTCCTAATCTTGACCTCTCTGTATTGGTGATCGAAAAGAATCATATTTAATCTAAGAGCAGTTGTTGGCACTTAGTTACTTTTGAAGTTTTTTTTTTCTTCCTTGGAAATGAGCTTTTGAAATTTTAAAAGTAGAGCCTGATTGGAGCATTCCTCTGCGGTGTGACAATACAAAGGCTTAGGTGTGCTTTATTTGTAGTGTAGGTAAAACACTTCCTAGATTGTACAGGAACTAGCTTGTTCCCTTGGTAATATATTAATTTCAGGGCTCCCTTCCCCAATGTTTTATGAAAGTTTTGGGGTAAGCTGTTAAGTCTTACCTGTGCTGGTGCCCTGTCCAGAACTTATTTTTTTTCCAGATCCTGAAATGACTTCGAAAGTTGGATTTTAAACTATGTTCACTATCAGAGTTCATACTTGTAGAAATAATGCTGCTATTTTTTTTTCTTCTGTCAAATCACCTTACATTTTAAGGTGACGTCAGGGGAAGGTTGAGTCTATTTCTAATTCCACTGCACCATTTAAAGGCTTAACTTGAAATCTGGGTTGTTTTTAAACATATTTTATTTTCTTACCTAACACTTCACTTGACCTCCGGTGGTAAAGAGACACCTGCCATCCCATTAGAATCAGGTTCCAATGTGGCTTGACATCCTTGTCTGGCTTCTCCACCTCTGACTTCTTGCAAGAGACAAGAAATAGCTGCCTTTACTTTGCCATGCCAGCTGATCAAATAACTGCTAGGATATGGAAATTCTTAGAACAGCACATTGGCAGAGATTATATTGGTGCCCACCAGATTTTTGTCCTAACCCAGTGGTGGGCAGATTATGGCCCTCCAGACGTTTTAATCTGGCCCTCAAGCTCCCGCCGGGGAGCGGGATCCAGGGCTTGCCCCACTCCGTGAGGCTTCTAGAAGCAGCAGCATGTCCCCCTTCCGGCTCCTACACGTAGGGGCAGCCAGAGGGCTCCGCACCCAGGAACCACGGCCAATGGGAGCTGCAGGGCAGCGCCTGCGGACAAGGTAGTACACAGAGCTGCCTGGCCGCGCCTCCGTGTAGGAGCCGGAGGAGGGACGTACCGCTACTTCTGGGAGCTGCTTGAGGTAAGCGCCGCTTGGAGCCTGCACCCCTGACCCCCCCCCCCCCCCCGTCGCCCCCAGCCCTGATCCCCTTCCCACCCACCAAACCTCTCGGTCCCAGCCTGGAGCACCCTCCTGCACCCCGAACTCCTCATCCCCAGCCCCATCCCAGAGCCCGCACCCCCAACCAGAGCCCTCACCCCCTCCCACACCCCAACCCCCAATTTCATGAGAATTCATGGCCCGCCATACAATTTCCATACCCAGATGGGGCCCTCGGGCCAAAAAGTTTGCCCACTCCTGTCCTAACCCCTTCCCTGGTCCCAGACACCATCCTTCAGATTGGACCATGGTAGGAAGCCAAAATTAGACATAGATCACCACACATCTGTGACTCCTGGACTGCTGCTCCCTTCATGGGAAGATTTTCTTATCTGATCTAAAGAATTTAAGAAACAAAGTTATTGAAACTTGCCTCCCCTGCTCCATCTTATTAGACCACATTTCCTGCATGTCACTCTGCCCCAACAGTTCACATAGTTTCCTGTTAGCCTTCCTTGACTTCCTTGAGGTCATTCTCATTTTTGCATTGCCAGCAGCCTCTTTCAAGACACTCTGGCAACATCAGGCAGGGGCCAAATTATTTTGCTCAGTTACATCGCTGTACATCTGGAGAAACATCACCAATCTCGGTGGAGTTACTCCATATTTTCACCGGTAGGATTTGGCCAAATGCAGGGTAAAATCCTGACTGAAACCAGAATTGCACAATCAGTCACAACTTTTGGAGTATGCTTTGTGTTTATACAAGAAGCAGACCTATAATTAGAGGCACATGTCCAGCTCTGACCTGGTGTAAATGGGTGCAACGCCTTTGGAAATCTATGGACCAATTTCAGTGGTGATTTAAATGGTGGTGTATGTCACATGCTTAGAGAACATGTGTAGGTGGTAAAGTCGGACTCGTTTACTTGGGGAAACTGGCCAGAATAGCTCTTGTGGAATAAGCTATTTTGCAACAGATCCCCATGCAGAGACACTTATTTCAGAACAAGAGTGCCTTTTCTGATTTAACTTAATCTGCTTCCAATCTTGCACCAATTTGGTGTTCATTGGGTGTGCAGAATGAGTGTACAGAACAAGTGTAACTTCTATACTATGGGTAGAGAAAACAGATGGAGGAAAACAACTAACAGTTAAAGCAGTTTTCTCATCATTGTCAACCCCCTGTTGTCTGATCAGCTTGGGCCCCTATTTATGTTACTGCCGAATTTGGCCCATAAAGTGCAGAGCTTCAAACCTAGGTCCCCTTCAGTATTTGTAGCTGACCATGACAGACTCCTTATAATGAAACGCCTTTGCTTGTCTGGGTCCACCTTTTTTTTTTTCTTTTTCTTTTTTTTGCCATGAATACTTCACACCGAAGCTTAAAACATTAATAGCAAGTCAGATTTTTGAATGTGGCCCTGGAGAGTTAGTGAGGCTATCACACTTTCCAAACCTCAAGCATGCTCTCCCCACTGCCCAAAATGCAACTTCTTACCCAGTTGGGTACAGGATTAATTGCTGTGCATTTTAGAATTCTTTTCTCACTCTCTCTCTTTCACAATCTGCTTAGATTGCCACCAAGGAACCATTGAATCCCATTAAACAAGATATAAAGAGAGGCAAGCTTCGATATGTGGCCAATATCTTTCCTCACAAGGGTTATATATGGAATTATGGTGCCCTCCCTCAGGTAACATTTTTGTTATAATGGTGAAACCTTCCTGTCTTCTGAGTAAATTGCCTTATAAATCCTGAGCATTGCCTGAATGCAAATAAATTGCAAGAACGACGTTTTTGTTTGATAGATTTGTAAATTAGGAATTTTTTATGCAGAGCTTTAGTGTGTCCATAAATTTTGATCAGAATTGGGGCGTATGTATAAATGTATGTGCTATTTCAGGAAGGAGTTAAGTATTTAAGGAACCTTGAATTTATATTTTTTTTACTTCCCTGTACTATGTGACAGGATTATGCTGTCATCTTCCTGTCATTCAAAAGTACTTAAACCAAGTAGTAGTAACATTTTTTCCCCTTACACAAAGTTGAGGTAGTAAATTCATGTAGGCCATTCATATTTGGCAGTGTAAATAATACACCTCTACCCCGATATAAGGCGACCTGATATAACACAAATTCAGACATAATGCGGTAAAGCAGCGCTCCGGGGGGGGGGGGCGGGGCGGGGCTGCGCACTCCGGTGGATCAAAGCAAGTTCGCTATAACGAGGTTTCATCTATAACGTGGTAAGATTTTTTGGCTCCCAAGGACAGCGTTGTATAGGGGTAGAGGTGTAATTGGAATCTCTTAACCTCTTTGACAAAGGAAAAAAATATAGTGACTTTTGTTTTTGGGTTAAACTAGTTTTGTTTTTGGGTTAGTTACTTTGATTCATTTTACTTTGAATCTTCAGACTTGTTTGATCATATTTCATTTAAAATTTTGTTTTGTGTTTATAAACAGTAACTGAAATTCCATATTTGGTAACAATAAGGATTTAGGTGTTTGCTCACGATTTAGATGTTTGCTCATCAGCAACCAGTGGGGAAGTACTTGAGGGTACCTTGGAAGAAATTTCACCACAAGGCTCTTTTACCTCTTCCCAAAATCCATATTTTTTGGTGGGTGGGTGTGGGCGTGTTTTTTCCCTCTCATTTCTAGTAGATTCATTACTTCAAACATAGAAAAGAAAAATCCCCAAATTGAAACAATTACCTACTTCAGAGTATATAAAAGTCACAAAAAACTAAGTCACTTATAGCAGGAAAATAGCTACTGATGGCAAACTTTTTCTAAAAGTGGAAATAACTAAATTTTAAAACAATCCCCTTTAATTAAAAAAACCAACCAACAAAATGTTGAGCATATCTTTAGAAACACATCCAATTTTGACTTAGCATTTGTACCTGAAGAGGGACTTAAATCCCAGACCCTCTGATTAAAAGGCTGGTGCTCTACCAGCTATCTTATCCGGGCTCATAAAATCTACCATCTTTCTTGAGCTAAGCATGCCTATTGCCAGAAAAAGGAGAGGCTGTAACTTTATTTACTGGTGTTTTATTAATCTCTGTAATTTATAGGTAAACTAAGGAATTGTGATTGGAGTTTAATTATTGTGTTTCTCAATCCTTTAACAGACTTGGGAAGATCCACACCATAAAGATAAGGATACAGGATGCTGTGGTGATAATGATCCCATTGATGTGTGTGAAATAGGCACAAAGGTTTGTCTTAATAAACACGGTTATTTTAATATTTTGGTAGAATGGAGAGGGGCAAGGTGGAAGCAATTGACCAGAGGGAAGAGGTTACACAATTTATTTGTGGTTGGGGGATGACCAAAGTACAGGGCCAGCCTTAGGGAAAATGGTACCCTGGGCGAACTTGCATTTTGGTGCCCCTGGCCTTGTGGGTGTGGTGCCCCCTCATTGCCCCTGGTCCCCCATCGGTTTCCCACCCTGCCTTCCCCCCAAACCCCTGCACTGTGCCACCTTCACCTCAATGCCTGCACCCCAACCCCTGCACTGGCATGCGCCCTCACCCCAACACTTGCATTCCCCTCCTGTGCCCCTAACACCTGCACTGTGCCACCTTCACCCCAATGCCTACTTCCCCTCCCTCACCCCAATTCCTTCTCCCGCTTCTGCACACCAACCTCTGCCCGCTTCTGCACACCAACCTCTGCCCCCTTCTGCACACCAACCTCTGCCCCCTCCTGTGCCCCTACCTCCTGCACTGTTCCTCCTTCACCCCAACCCCTGCACTCCCCTTCTGTGCCCTAATCCCTGCACCCCTTCACTCCTACCCCCTGCACCTCCCTCCTGAGCCTCTAACCCTGCACTGTGCACACCTCCTCACCCCAACACCTGCCCTCTCCTGTTCCCCTAACCCCTGCAGTGTGTCCCCTTCATCCCAACCCCTGCCCTTCCTATACCCCAACCCCTGCACAGTGCATACCCCCGCACCCCAACACCTGCCCCCTGCACTGTGCCCCCTTCACTCCTACCCCCTGCACCTCCCTCCTGAGCCCCTAACCCCTGCACTGTGCCCCTAACCCTTTCATCCCCCTCCTGCACCCATGTTGGGAAATTGACCTGGATGCACAAAGCAGCTGGCATTGCTGCTTGCTCCCCCACTGGACTGCTGCTCCTCTGCCCCATGCACTCCCTGGGCTGTGTAAGGGGAGGGCAGGAGAGCAGCAGCTGCTGATGCCTCAGCACAGCCCAGGTGGGGAAGTGACCTGAATGCAGGGAGCCCTGGTCTTGTGTGTGTTGCAGGGGGAGAGAGAGAGTGTGTGTGTGAGACAGTGTGTGTTGTGTTGAGGGGAATGTGTGTGTGCCTGAGTGTATGAGTGCGCTGTCTCTTTAAGAAAGCACTCAGGGTCAGGAACCTGAAGGCTTGTGTTCAGGGGGAGGAAGGGAACCCCTGCTCTGGGGGAGTCATCTGATCACCTGGCTCCCGGCTTGTCGTCCAACTGCCCCCTGCAGCTTGGGTCTCTCCCCCGCTACTCCCTCTCCAGTGCTGCTGCCTGCCTGCTTGCCGCCTCTGTCAGCCCAGCTGGCCCTCAGCAGGTCAGGTGGGAATCCAAACCCTGCGCACGTCGCCCTCTTTGATGGGCCGCCCTGGGCGGGGGCCTAGACAGCCCACCCCAAAGGCCAGCCCTGCCAATGTATGGGCAAGGTTCTGTTGTTAGAACTGAGAGGAAACAGGGTTGCTTGTGTTGGTAGGGGAAGGGTTTAAAAACCATGGGGCTCACTTCAGGTTTATGTCTTATGTTCCTAAAAGCTCATGCTTCAGGTTTTTAGCCAGCCACAGGCAGGGGGTCAGGAAGGGATTCCCCCCACTGCTTCCCAAATATTCTGGAAGTGTTTTTATCTTCTTTTTCTGAATAATCAGGGATGGCCATGGCTGGAGATGGCACCTTGGATGGGGAAGGCCAGAGCTCTGAGGTGGCACCAATGATTCTCTCTCTCTCTCTCTCAGTTCTTGACTGGTTATTTCTTGCTCACATGCTGAGGGTCTAACTGATGGCCATATGTGGGGTTGAGAAGAAATTTTCAGATTGGCATTGATTTTCGGGGCGGGAGGGGCGGCGGGCTCACCTTCCTCTGCAGTGAGTGGGTGTAACTCACTTACCTGGATTATAAGGTTATATCTCACTTAATCATTTCACTGCCATTGTGGGGGCGTTGGGCACTGGTGTACCTTGGTCCCTTGTATTTGCTTGTGGCACACAATAATCTAGTCTCCTGTAATACTTTGGCCTAATTTCAGTTGTTGGGTTTTGTATGCAGGTAGTGGTGGCCTGTGATTTCTAGTCTGACCTTCTGTATGACTTTGTGGTCCATTCTGGCCTTAAACTCAGTGAAATGGTGGATTTTGGAGAGGGAAGAAAGAACCAGCAGGATTTCACAAAAGCTTGGGTATTGAGTGAGAGAGACAAGAGGAGATAAAAATAGCAGGTTTTATGGCTAGAATAACTCACAAGGGCAGTGCAATTCTTAACAGCAATAGAAAAGAGAGAGAGAACTTATTTTTTTTGCCATGTTGAGCTTGAATTGCCAGTGGGGAAATCTAGGAACACGAGTCAAAAAAATAAATGTGTGAGATTGGAGTGAGGGGGATAGATTAGGTGAAAAGGCAGATTTGGGAGTTACCTGTTTAGAGGTGGTAGGTTGAGGCCACCCAGAGATGAGATAGAGAAAGGAAAGAGGGTCTAGTATAGCGCTTATGGGATGTTGACTGAGATGTGAGGAGAAGGAGACTCCGAAGGCTCATTTGGAGTGGGAAGGTGGTAACAACATGGAGGGAGAAAAATTCTGAAAGTCCACAGAGTTAGGAAGGGAGGTAGCAATCATCAGTTGTGCTAAAGGTGGTGAATATATCAAGGAGAATGAGTTTGCAGAAGATGCCACTCGGACTATGCCAGAAGGAGACTGATTGTTAGTGACCTAAGTAAAGGCTGTGGCAGTGGAAAGGAGGAACCTGAATTTGGATTACAAGGGATCCAAGAAGGAATTGGAGGAGAGGAAATTGCTGCAGCAGGAAGAAACCTCACACTCCTGGGGCTTGGAGGAAAAGAAGAGGAGAGAGATGAGGTGTTATTTGGAGAAGCCAGGGTGAATTTAGAGTGTGGAGATAGGTGTATGTTTGAAGGCTAAGAGAAAGGAGCCAGGAGAGTGAGAGAAGAGATGAGGACTTGGGATGGGGACAAGAGGGATAGGTAGAAGGGATTAGAAGATGAATGAGTGGTGCCTCTGGATCACAGATTGGGGTAAATATAGAGGGGAGGGAAGAAAATTCTTACTAGAACATGTCAGTTTTCTCCTTGAAGAAATTACTGAGATCCTGCACAGAGAGGTGGAAGAGAGAATCAAAGGCGAGAAAAGACTGGAGAGGGGCAAGTAGACCTGGGAATCTATTAGGGACTGGAAGTAAAACTCTGGACAGGAATGTGGAAGAGTTGAATGAGGAGAACAACTTTTTGGTCTGTTAGAGGAAAACAAAGAGGTTGCGACTGTGTAGCCTTTTCTGTACCTTTCTGAGACAGAAATTGTGCTGCTGTGCTTTCAGGTTCACTATCCTGGTGAGATCATTCAGGTAAAGGTTCTTGGAGTTATGGCTCTTATTGATGAAGGAGAGACAGATTGGAAGATTATTGCCATCAATGTGGATGACCCAGAAGCCCAGAAAATTCATGGCAAGTATCTTTACCTGTCCTCAAACATCCATTTCAGCAAGTGAACTTTGAGGAACACGATAAACTTAGAATTTGGAATTGGTAATACAGAAATGTCGCCTAGCTTACTAACTGCGCAGCTCCAGATTTAAATATTTGCACCTTGCTTTTAATTGCATGGTCAGTAGAGCGGTGTTTGATATTGACGCACAAAGGATGAGGCAAGGCAGACAGCCTAAAGAAAAGGGAGCATGTATTCATCTATTTGCTGTTGTCTGCACTTAAATGTCTTCTTTAGGGAATGCACATACGTATCTCACACTAAGTTTTAGGAAGGCTAGCGGCTATCTCCGGACTTCCTCAGATGACCTGTCACACAGAGAACCTTGTGTGAGAGAACATAATCTTTGAAACATGACTGCCTTAGTTAATAGTTGGGAGAACTGTAAAGTTTAAACCCTTGCAGATGTAATTTACTTTGAACAGCCCTAATTTCCATTGGCTGTATGAGGTGTTTTTTGTTCATGGTATTTGGGTAGGTATAGTTTTGCACTCTGAAGATGCCCCTACATTTTTAAAGTGTCCTGCAGGGTTTTGACAACATGATTCCCAAGTAATTGAGAATTTTTGCACATGTGAAATTTGATGGTGGGCTCATTTTAGCTTTTTGTAGTTCACATTGCAAAATCATTATCACAGTTGACTCTAACAGAAGCCTTGATGTTAGTGTCAGCAGAGAGAAGGTAGAGATTAAAGGAACACCTCTAACTTAAAAAATAAAATCACATTTGTCTGAAAAGCTTTTACTTGCAACTGTGAAATAGTTTGTACTATTGCTGAAAGAAACAAAAAGAAAAAAATAGCTTTTTAAGTGTTTACTTTCAGTATTGTTAGTTTGTCTCCCCAACAGCCATTCATCCACTTGTTTGTTTTGTTTGGGTCCTTTGCACAGTAAAAGAGAAGAAAAAAAAATACAAAAGAAAGTGTGATTTGTGTAGCCACAAAAAATGGGTGACAGGACTCCAAGGCAGGTCTAGCACCTGAAATGACCTTTAACTTATTTTTTAAAAATTGACTAGATTTCAGCTTGGCAGGGTTGCTTTAAAGTGGCATGGTAACTGGATTACCTTCCCATTCCTGCAGGTGTTCCCTTCAGAAGAGTTAAGGGTGTGTTGTCAGCGTTTCACACTGTGCTTGTGCTGTACCTTTCCTGTAGCTAACAGGGCTTCATTCTTAAAAATAAAATCATTGGGAATCCAAGAGCTAAAATCATGTGCAAGTCTTGGACAATCTTTGTCAAGGTAATAATTATGTTCTGAGGCTAAATATCCTATGTACTCTCAAGTACACAAGATCAGGACTTATCCTTTTGTTGGGATAGTACCTGTTTTAATGGTCTGTCTGTAGTAACGGATGTGTCCAATAGCGTTCCAGATGTCTGAGGAATTATGCTGCTCAGCCATTGAACCATTTTCCTGGTGGCTGAATGCAATGTTAAGGCAAGTTGTTATCCGCATCAGTGGGCTGCTACCTAGATGGCCCTCCCCTTTTTATTGTTTCCATAGGTCACCATGACAGATTACCTGTGATGAAGGGATAAGGAAGCTCTTAGGCTGGTAAAATCACCAAGGCAGATCAATTGCAGCAGAATGTTTTTGCTTTCTCATACTGTGTTTTTGTTACAGAGATCCTGAAGCTTAGTTTAGGGAAGCAGTGAGATGTCTCAGCCTGCTGCTTCTTCAGTGCGAAGATGACACTCAGATCTATGACTTTTTTTTCCCATCAAAACCAGGATGAGGTAGAACTGATGCTAATGGCATAAGGAAGCATCTACATGAATGGATAGGTGATGTTAATGCCTTCTGTCTAAGGGGCTTGCTGGTATGGTTCAAAGTCACTCAGTCATCTTGGATTCATCACTAGCCCTGGATTTTCAGGTGACAGCTGTAGCACATAGATCCTCTTTCCATCCACTTTTGGTTTGGAGGCTGTGACACCTTGCTTTTTGCCATGGACCTTGCCCCCATGATCAGAACATCTAACAGCCTTTAGAAATGACTCTGAAGCTTCAGCTAGCCACAGTGTAGTTGCTTATAAATGGAAAGGCACAACTTGTAAGAAGGGCTAAATAATTTGAGATTCAGTTATCTGAGAGCATCTCTCTGTCTTCTTCCCCTCCTTTTTCTCACAGGAACTAAGATCTGTGGAGTTGCCCTCAATGTTTGCACCAAGTTTACAACATTCCATAATGTTCAGTGGGAATCCATATACGTTTTGTAATAAATAAGAACCACTTGATGGGCGGCTAAGTGTTTTTGACAGGCAATTAGTGATATATTTTTAGACAATGTTTTTTCTTTTTTAATCTCCTATACTTTTTTTTTAACCATAACTTAAACTGATTAAGAAATAGTTTAGTATGACAAAAGTAAAATATGGAAAAAAACTGAGCCACTGTTTAACACTTAGTGCACTAGTGCTGTCTTAAATCTGGCTTTGTTTTATTGAGTAACATTCTTGCCCTAAGGGATTGGGTGCTTTGGTGACAGAACTCCAATTTATTTGGAAATAGACTATTTATCTCTTTTTTTAAAAACAAAAAATATGAACTGTGGCATGTGATGTGTGCGCACGCACACAATTTTTCATTTGGAATATATTTGCACAAATAGCCATGGATTTCTAGTTGTGTTTCTTAAACACTCAAGTTTAATCTCATGCATCCATTTTTTCTTGTCCACAAGAAGGAACCTAATCTAGCAAGCATAATTGTCTGATAATGTGACGCTGGCCAAGCAGGCGTTAGCTCATGCCAGGGTCCCCCTGCCTCAGTTGACTACTGACAAATACAGAGTTGAAATGACTCTCTTGCTCACCTCTGTGTAAGGATTGTTAAAATAGGTATTAGAATTATAATAATGTGTTGAGTGCTTAGACTTCATTGAATGCTTGAGAGTTGATGCATGCATTAATCTCACTTATAACATCTGTGTCCGATGTTGTAAGGTAACATTTGAGCATTCACATTGTAAGCCTCTATGTGTAAATAACCTGACAGAAGAGAGGCATTAACTAGTATGAAGTGCTAATCTCCAACAGAAGCTGTTATGTCCTGCCCGACAAGGAAGGCCCATCGACACCAGACAGACTATAGTGGAACATTAAAGAGAACAAAATATTTCTTTGTTTATTCCCCATGAAGATGAGTCTTGCAAGTGAATTGCTCCCATCATCTGAGTTTGAAGCTCAGAGCAGAAGGGTGGGGGGAATAAAAACCCCTAACAAAGAGGAACTGTATCTTTATGCTGCGTGGACTGTGGGAGGCAAGAATTACTAGGCATAAGAAAAAGATCCCCAGTGCTTAGCCTGGATTAGCTATAAAGGACATATAGCGCTTGTTTATTATACAAGCTTCTATCACATTTTGAAACTTAAGATTGGAATTCATGTGTGTATATATGTTTACCTGTTCTGACCTAAATAACTCTCTCGTTTCCTTGTCCCATATAAATAAATCTTTAGATAGCTTGTAGCCAGTCCTTTAATAAACTGCCTTTGGTGGGAGATCCAATGTGCAATTGACCTGGGCTAAGTGCCTGGTCTTTTGGGACTCAAAGTAACCTGAATATTGCTACAAAGAGTCCTGTGGCACCTTATAGACTAACAAATGTATTGGAGCATAAGCTTTCGTGGGTGAATACCCACTTCGTCAGACGCATGACTGACGAAGTGGGTATTCACCCACGAAAGCTTATGCTCCAATACATTTGTTAGTCTATAAGGTGCCACAGGACTTTTTGTTGCTTTTTACAGATCCAGACTAACCCGGCTACCCCTCTGATATTGAATATTGCTGTGATCCTTGGGGTAAGGGTCCATCTGTCACAAAGGTAGGCTAACCTGGGTGGCAAGACAGAGAGTACTCAAGAGGAATGTCTGTGACTCCATGTTAAGATTGTTATAGTGTCTGAGGAGTTCACGCTTGATGATTGGTTGGTGAAATTTAAGTATAGAACTCACAACCAATTGGGGGTTTGTGCCCTGGTTCCTAACAGTCTGTCCTGAGGTTGGGTCTCTCACTCTTGAGCCACTGCAGGGCAGCTTGACAGATGGGAAATACACAACTCTGAGGGTATGTCGCCACAGCAACCAGACACCTGTGTCTGGGCCATGCCAGCTGACTCTGGCTCGCGGGGCTTGGGCTCTGGGGCTGTTGCATTGCTGTGTAGGCTTCTGGGGTCGGGCTGGCACCTGATCCATTGCGACCCTGCAAGGTGGAAGGGTCCCAGAGGTTGGGCTACAACAGAAACAGCCCTGCAGCCCGAGCCCATGAGCCTGAGTTGGCTGGCACGGGCCAGTTGCAGGTGTCTGGTTGCTGTGGCGACATACCCTGAGAAGCGTCCGTCTAACAATCGGAGGGTGAAGCGGAAAACATTTCTTAAATATAAGAAATGGTCACTTCAGAGATTGTTTAAGTAGTCCAAGGTTTGGAGGGGAGAGGATGTCCACCATCTGGTTCAACAAAACATAACTGTTGCTTGCAGTGGTTAACAGGAATCCCTCTTCGTTTTGAAAATAAACAAATCTGGTGGAATGTGCAGTACAATATGTCCCTTCATACTTGTTTTTCCTTCCTCCCCATGAGACTTTTTTTTTATTCAGATGGACGGTAGCTGTGGATAAAACTAAGAAACTTCTTCTAATAACTGACAAGCTGATATAGTTGAATTATGCTATTGGCATTGTTCACTTTCTACTATTCACTTAATATTTCTGATTGGGTGTAGAGTTCTTATGTTTGGTCTCTGCCCAGCAAAGACCTTTCCTGTTTCCTTTGTCCCCTTCAGAAGTCTGAACAACATCTGGTCAGTCTTTTTTGTTACTCTAACGTTTGTGAAAAGTGTTTAGTTATTTTTTTTGCTTGGGTGACTCAGGCCACTTTGTGTTAAAATTTCAAACTAGGCATGTGCATCATAGTTTCTGATGAAGATTAGTTATGGTAAATCTGGAAAAAATAATTCGGGGACAGTAAAGTCATAAATGCTTGAAAATCCTGTCCTGGGCTTGTGTTATATATTAATTTTTTCTTACTGATTTAAACACGCACCAGGTACATCATATTTCCCCATTCTGGGTTTTTGATCATTCTCATAACTGCAATTGATTTCCAAAACACAATTTAAAGCAGAGCATTTCCCATTGTTTATACAGAGTCCTCCCAATATATAGGCCTCCAATTCTGGAGGCATTTATTGATAAGTACTGCTTAAACTGGAAACTCTGTCTAGAACTCTCTCATATAGAGCAATGAAAAAGCTGTAATTGATGCAAGGGAAGAACTTGTTTTAATACAATCAGCTTTGGTTTAACTCTGCCCTTTACATACCTGAGTGCCATTTTCTGTCCAGGCAGCTGCTAGCCAGATAACCATCACTGGACTCAGTGAAGCAATTTAAAAACAAGGAAGTGGGTCTGGTGTGGATCTAAAATTTGTTTTCCCCTCTCTTGAATCTCTAAACTAGGCCTGAACTTTGTGTAATATCTTGGCCAAGAAGAGAGTCAAATTCTTGAAATGGAAAAATTTTTTGACCACTTGTCTCATAGTGGGATTTAATTTATGTATTGAAGTTCAAATACAGATCTGGACCAATTAACCTTTCCTGCAAACTCAGAGAAATATTTGGGCATGATTATATTTAGCCCCAATTACAAAGGCCTAAAATGAGATTCATATTGGCCAAGTGTTTTAAAAGTGACTAGTGATTTGGGGTGCTGGGTTTGAGGTGTCTTAAAGTTGCTCTCAGAAAGTATTGAGCACGTCCCCTCTAAAATCCAGGCCCCTTAAAGGTGTCTCAAGGTTGGCACATAAAAACCAAGGAACCCAAAACCACTGGCCATTTTTGGAAATCTTGCCAGTTGGTTTTATTCTGTTGGTCATTAGAATGATGCCTGTATATACACACCTGTAAATAATTTCTATCAATGTTGGTATATTAATAACTTATTATATAGTTACTGTACAATATCCGCACCCTTCTCCTCTCCCCAAACAAAATGCTCTCTGCTGTTTATAAACATAATATATAGCAATGGGCAGTGCCTTGGGTTGTTTTTATTCATTATAGATGATGACCATATGTGGTGGCTTTAAGTTAGTTTTGAGTTGTGGTCAGTCGCTGAATGGTGAAGTACAGTATATTGCACTACTTGGTATCATGTACCGTGTATATTCCCTTTCTCTATGCATGGGTATATTTATATGCAGAACAGCAGAAGAGGCCCATGAATTTGGGGAATTTGTGTAAGCATTCAACATAAAGAAATTAATTGTCTGTACTAGTGCTTTTTTCCCCCCTTGCTGCAGAAAATACAACAAATGCCTTTATATGGAATGTAGCTGCTGCTTCCTGTAAATGTTTATAAGATGTTATTAAAAACATATGTCTTCTCTTCCCACAGACCTTGTTTAGAAAGCTTGTTGCAAGCATGTTGTTTTAGCTTTGCTTGCAAGAAACAGCATCTGTTGTACAAAACTACCATTTTTAGTACAAATGTTTTTATCGTTTCCTTTTGTAAGGCCCGATAGATTTGGGAGCTGCATTTTCATTGGTTTTTTCCTTTGACAAAAAGCAAGCCGTAATCATTCGTGCCAGCCTCTAGAGATTTTCCTTATTCAAACCAAGCTGCTTACACTCGCTGTAATAACAGATAACTTTATTTCATCTGCTTTTTAACCCTGGGGTTAACTTTGATGCTTATGAAAGTGGAACTGGAAAATGCATACCAGCAATATGCAGAAATCACACCCCCATACCTGTGATAATCATGTTAATACTGTCTGACCTGCAAGGCTCCTGGCATTCACATCCTGAGCCTCTTCTCAGCAGAGATTGACAATATAGATAAATAGGACCAAATTATATTGGGCAATACGTTTGCTATACTATACATGTTTAGTTCCCTTTGACTTCAGTCTGAATACATAGTTTCAATGGAGACCACGTGTATATATCGAGTACCAGAGTATGGCACCTAATGACTGTGATGCGGGGAAGGCAGAAATCAGCCGACTCCTATTTGTTTGATTCTAATAAAGATGTGAAACCCAGCTTCTAGAAAGTAGTGTATTAAATCACTGCACCTGCTATCCTTTCTTATTTTTCTGCTCCCTTATTAGAACCCTGGAAATTCCTCCTCCTTTCCCTGCCCTCCCCCCGACTTTACATCCACCTCCCAAGTCCTGTGTGGAAGCTGTCATTTTCTTAGTGTTCAGTGGACTGAACAGGTTGTCTTTCCAGCTTGTCCCTGATGTCTCTTAAGTGACTGGGGTGGGTTGCTGGTGGGTGATGAGGCCCTCTTTTCCCCGTTTCCTGTGGCTGAGTGCTGGCTTCACAACAACAGGACTTTACGGTTGTAACACTTCCCCCAAATTAAGAAGAAAAACATAATAATTTTTTTTAAAAAGCTGGATAATCACATGGTGCTAATGTTCCTGTTCTGTTCCAACTGCTTCTGGAGCCTATTAGAGAAAGTGGAAACAAGGAGGAAAAGCCAAGCTAGCCCAGATGCCTTTACTGAAGGTCATGGGCCATGAAATTCAATGATGCCTGTAATTTCCCTGGTTGTCCTAATTTCTCTTTTTATAGATTGGCATGATATTTTCCCTCTTCCAGTCCTCTGGGAGGTTTCCCATCTTCCATGAGTTTTTGAAGATAATCACTAATGGCTCATATATTTCCTCAGGAAATCTCTCTCTTGCCTGGCGACGTGAAGACATCTGACTTGTCTAAGTACTTTTTTAACTTGTTCTTTCCCTATTAGCCTCAGATACTATCTCATTTTCACTAGCATTCACTATGTTAGACGTCCAATCACTACTAACCTTTCTGGTGAATACTGAAACAAGAAAGTCATTTAGCACTTCTACCATTTCCACATTTTCTGTTATCTTTCCCCTCTCGTTGAGCAATGGGCCTGCCTTGTCCCTGATCTTCCTCTTGGTTCTAATGTATTTGTAGAACGTTTTCTTGTTACCTTTTATGCCTCTAGCTTGTTTAATCTCGGTTTGTGCCTTGGCCTTCTAATATTGTCCCTACATGTTTGTAGTGTTAGTTTATAGTCATCCTTTGTAATTTGACCTAGTTGGACCTAGCTGGGTTGTTCAGAGGACTTGGGGCCATCAGGACTCAAGAAAGCAGAAAGGGCCCTTCTGCCACATGAGGCCACCATATGCTGGGTGACCTTGTCCTCTCCTGTCCAAGCAGCTGCTTCTTGTCTGGCTTGCTATAAAACCATCTGGCTTCCTTTGTTCTATCTTTCAGGTAACTTTCCAATGCTCTGATCTCACCCATCTTTTAACTTTGAGGAGTTAAACTAAAACTGTTTTTTTTTATGGGCGCAGCAGTCTTTAGTATAACTTTTGTGAGGTCTAAGTACCATTGTTAATGTTAGAGAGAGAAGGGGAGTGAGGTAATATCTTTTATTGGACCGACTTCATCTGGTGAGAGAGAATTGAGCTTTCAAGCTTACATAGAGATCTTCCTCAGGTCTGCTAAGTATTTCCCATTGTACCTGCTACAGGACCTATCAGCAGTGATGAGTCCATATATATACAGGCACTCATGTTACAGAAATTTTTCAATTTCACAATAGCAACCAGAATTCATAAGTTGTACAGCCATTTTCCAAATTCATTATGCTCTGCCAACGGCATGCATCCCTCTTCATGCCCTGTCCTATACTTATGCGGCAGGAACTTTCTCATTCTGCTACCAGGTGCTCTGCACCTGCAGAGGTTAGGGTAGAATGTGGTTAGCGCAAGTAACTAGCAGTAGGTGTTAGAGAACTTAATGCTAGTATCATTTACCTTTTCTGTATCTAATGGGCCAAACTCAGACATATGTGCTGTCAGGTGTGTTTTTAATATACATTTTAGGTTTTCCTTTGCTACACCACCTTTGCTATACTTTGTTTTCAGGTTTTAGTTTAAAATCCATGAGCTAAAATTGTTTTTGCCAGTTATTTTTCCATTATCAAAAAGACGCATTGGCACAGTTGCTGGGAAATAAAATGTATAAAGTAATCCAAGTCTCATATGAGGTATCTAGTGAGATGAAAGCCTATAAATATGGAATTTTCTTCTCCACCTGCTATAAAGATGGTCATTTTATTCATTGGCCCTTGGGTCTTAATTAATGAAGACCAGGAGGTGACTGGCTTATCTGTTTTAGTGTGGTGGTGAAATCATAAAATATCAACTATGGGCAACTGAGGAAGAAACTGAAATTTCCTGATGACTTTGAAAGAATTCACTGAAATCAAATTGCTTGCAAATATTTTACAAGACTTCTAAAAAATGATGTTACCAAAACTGAGAGTAAAAAGGTGATACTTTTTTTTATATATACCTACAGATATTGATGATGTCAAGAAACACAAACCGGGTTATCTTGAGGCTACAGCTGAGTGGTTCCGATTATATAAGGTCCCAGATGACAAACCGGAAAATCAGTTTGCTTTTAATGGAGAGTTTAAAGACAAGGTGAAGATGATATGGATTTAAAGATGCATCTTGCTGGCATATGTGGTTTTTGGAATGATATATCCTAGATTTTTTGGAATTGCTTGCAAGGAAGTGGTTGGTCCATCATAATGGAATAAAACTATGTCAGCATTCTTTAAATGCAGTTTGGAGGGGGTAGGAATATATGATCAACCATCAGAACTTTATTTGGCTTATTTTCATGTGTTTGTAAAATGAAAACCTTAATCCATATAGAGAATTTTGAATAGCTGTATTTTTGTCTGTGTAGATAATTAGGAAAACTTGCAAGATTAAACGTATCTCAAGAAAATAATGGTTTTTGAACAAGTGGGTAAAATATTAGGTCCCACTCCTGTGGATATTTACACACATGCATATGGTTTTTGCAGGATCAGGGCTGTTTTTTTTTTTCAATATCTTTGTCATCATAGGAAAGTAATGGGGAATAGATTTTGTGCATAGACTGGAAAATCTTCATGACAGTTTTGCAAGACTATATGTTTTAAAAGAAGCAGTATGGTAGGTTGCAGACTTTTCCATGCTTGGTTTTCGCTCAGAGGTGATTTTTTTTGGTAATTTTGAGTAAAAATGTTTCAGCAGTTTTTGTCTTCAAGACTAAAGATCTTTTTCCATCTTAAGAAAAATTCTCATGAGTTTTTGAAAACCTGTGGCTAAAATAGCTGATGATTGGAAGTGCAGTGGACATGGGAATAGTGCTCCCTGTAGCGACTGTGCTCACTGTAGTGCTCACTGTGGCCATTTTCCAGGTGAAATTGGGTTTGATTTGAGTTTAAAATATTTTGAAAATCACACATTATGTACAATCTATAGAGGGATTTCCCCCCTAAGCATTATAAATGGGTTCCAGGGAAATGATGCCCGTACACAAATTGGCTATAAACTGTCTAAGCTATAAAATGCCTACTAACCAACCCAAGCAAACTTTCCAATGTTGTCTGGGTGTAAAGATCCTCTTATTACTCTTCTCCCTCAGATGAATCATTCGCCTGGTGGAAAATACCCAGTGTTACAAGGCCAGACAACCTGAAGCTCTATTGCCAGCTCCTCCACTGTCTGCCTTTGTTAAGTTTGTACTTTGCAAAGCACATTCAGTGAGGCTTGAAGAAAGTTGCAGCCAAAACTGCTGGAATTTTGGGTCAGAGTTTGCACTAAATACCTTACCTCCTGACCAACTTGGACATGCTTCATTTGTTTCTAGAGATCCAGGATGTAAGAGAGTTACTCTTCCCCGAAATGTTCCAGTGGCACTGGTGAAGGGTGGCAACATCTCAGTGGTATCTAGCCACCTAGTCCAATTATGAAATGTGCATGCTCTGTCTGCAAGTGTGTGTTAGCCCATAGAGCTATGGTGCCCAAAACTTTAAAACTTTTTGGAGCTCTTTAATTTCCTCCCTGTATTTCCTTTTTTAACAACAACAAAAACCAACACGAAATTAAATTCCCACCAAACAAAACTAGGCAATTAATATACCGCTTTAATGTAACACTGAGGTTGGATGGTTAAGCAGTCAAATCAGGAAATACCAATATATTGCTGTGTGTGCAACATTAACTTTGACCCTTGTGTATATGTGTTATAATACAATCTTTAAAAAGGGTCATGTGTTTCTCAAAAATAATGCATCATACATACAATGTTACTACATCTGTAGTTACACATGTAGAATCCTGTATGATGATTTATTCCTGTACACATACACTGACGCCTTTTTTCTTGAATCCTCCTTATTGTGTCTGGCCACCAACCAAAAGTATCCTCAGTATGATGCCAATGTACTTGGTGGGTAGTGAGGCCTGTTTCTCACCTTAGAAAAGTGTGATGGTAGGAAGCCTCCTGTGAAGCCTTATTAAAAATTTTGGAAAATATACCATGTGAAATTGCATTTTTAATAAATTAATTCTTTGGAATTTAGTTAATAGCTTTTTATATCTCTTGATATAAACTAGGATTTTGCTGTTGGAATTATTAAATCCACCCATGAATACTGGAAAGCTTTGCTTCATAAAAAGGCTGATAGAGGTGCTATAGAATGGTAAGTGTCCATTCAAAGCTATTCCTATTTGTATTGTATTCATTCTGTCAGTGTGGCAGCTGTGTATGAACCACTTACATTTTTTGCTTTGAGGTGGCAGTAACATTTCTGTTTTTACAGCATCCCGATAGATAATTGCTCTTGCATGATAACTACACAGGGTTTACTGGAAATTACTCAGAAAATATATATTGATCATGTGAGTCCTGCAGATTATTTATAAGTAAACTTTAGTAACCGCTCAAAAACCAGTTATTGTGTAATCTGCGGCTTTTTGCACAATACTGATAACTTTTAATTTCTTTGAACGTGTCCTGTTATGTAATTTGATAATATAGCCAAGTGTAGCTTGTTAATATTTAGGAATTACTTAATTAAAAGTATTCACTTTAAACTAGAGAAAGAAGGTTAGGATTGTGTTAGCGATTTATTATGGTGACGTTATACAGTTACGCTGTAAAATGAAATTTATGAATTCTTTAAAATGTTAAATATAGTAACCTAACCTAAGGAAAAGCAGAGTTATTGCTGTCATTTTGTCCTTACCACCCCATTGTGTATCACTGCACATGAATTTATGATCAGCTTCTATTCTAAAATTCCTGCAGTATTTAAATACAACAAAGGAATTAAGTTGTCAAGTTAGTCCTCAACTATGATTTTCCCTGTTCCCCATAATACTGTTTGGGATTTTCCTGAGAGCCTCCATATTCCATACAAAGCCCTAATGAATCCTCTGCCTATCATTTATTCCATACTGTTGTTGTTGTTTGTTTTGCAGTAGCACCAGGAGTCCCCAACTGAGATTGGGGCCCCAATGTGCTAGATACTGCACAAACACATAGTGAGAGAGACAATCCCTGTCCCAAAGAGCTTAACAGTCTAAATAGGACACAGTCAAAGAGTTGGAGAACAAGTGTCTTGTTATCTCTGTTTTATAGATGAGGTATCTGAGGCACCTTGAGATTAAGTGATTTGCCCAAAGTCACATTGCAGGTCTGTGGCAGAGCCAGAAATTGACCTCATTTCTCCTAGCCAGCATTCTTATTGGACTGCAAGTCCCAAATTGGTAATATTGAGCTCATATTTTTTTATTCCAAAGCACTTAGGCTACATGTTGGTATAATTTATAAATCAATCCCAGCCTTACTTTGAGGAATCAAATACTATGCAGTTTATCCCATCAGATAATTTAGAGGAGACCTTACAAACCAAAGTCCAAATTCAGTCTTGGTATAAATGGATGCAGCTGCACTAACTTCAGTGGAACTTCAGCCATTTACACTAGCAGAGGATTTGGCTCCATGTTTTCATCTGCTGTCCATGAGCATTAAAGATCTTGGACGCTTTTTGAAAGAGCAGAGGTTTTCCCCAGGTCTTTGATCAACATTTCTCCTTTGCCACCAGTGTGTTGTGAAGTCAGTTTATTGGATTCCTTACCCAAGGGTTGTCTCCATGCCATTGTGTCTATTTTTATAGAGAACTTTGGGATCCTTTTAAGGACGAAAGGCACTATATAAATGTAAAATATTAAATGTATAAAATGCTGGTTATTGTTGCTTCATTTTTGACTGACTCACTTCTCGGTAGACATAAACATTTAGGCTCTTTGCAGAGGCTGTTTATCATAGGTAGGTTTTATTCTGTTCCATTTTTTTTATTGTTAACTATCTTATTAATTTTTATTTTTCAGTATGAATATTTTGGTGCATGACAGCCCCTTTCGTTGCAGTGAAGAGGATGCCAGGTTAATTGTGCAATCAGTAAGGGCAAAACGCTTTTAATAGAACTTTTTTATTTTTAAAAATTGTTACTAATGCTAGCAAAAGATCCAAAAATCCAGCATTGAAATAAAATAGGTAAACAAAGTGTGAGGTTTAAAAAAATAAAATGTAGACTACAGAGATTATGGGGGACATATAACCATTATAATATAAACCTTTTTTGCTGCAGTATAATAATTGTGTTTTCTGGCAGGTTCATTACCGTTTTGCTGATTTTCTATGGTTCTATTTCTTCTGATGCTAAATAGCAAGATTGACTATGTGTATCTAGCCTGCTGTCTTCTCTGTCTGCCCTGTTGCCATGAGTTACCACCCAGTGCTTAAACTCATTGACTGGCTGACTGTACTCTCTAATCACTAAGGGGATCCTTTGTTTGCCTACTTGCATAATTAAATGCATCGCTGTACAAGGAAGGGGGAAATGTTTTTCTAACTGCTTGTTAAAGAATAGCGCCTTGTTCTGCAAATTAATGTAAAATTCAAATACAAATTAATGTAAAATTCAAATACAAATTAATGTAAAATTCAAATACAAATTAATGTAAAATTCAAATCCATGGGTTCTCTGTTTAAACTAGAAAAATGTCCTGCAGGTTTTATACTGACATGTGCAAATGTCATTGGAGGAGAAGTTATTCCATTTAAATGTTATGTTTTGGAGACCACAACTTAAGCAACAACAACAAAAAAGCAATGTAAAGTGCCTGATTTAACAAAAAAAACCCCAAACATTTCTCACATGTATTTGCTTTCGCCATGAGCATATCGGGTGTTTTGCACTTGGATGTGGCTATATAGGCAACTAACTAGCCTTAACTCAAACTCTCTCAATTGCTTGATGTGTGCGCACAGTTATAGCAATTGTGCAAGTGTAAGTGTCGAATGAGACCTCAGGCCTCTTAAAACTAAGCTCTGAAAAAAACTAATGTTTTTACTTTCAAAAACCAGACATACAGAACATATACATATTTGGAGGCTTCTTTCCTAGTTGTCTCACTTTTTCATTGTTTACTTGTAAGGTACAGGCTAAAATCTTGAGTAGCTACACCAGTAATATATCAGTGATGCAAAATCCAGGACCTTTTATGTATTGGGATAGTGATTCAAATACTCCTGTTTATTTTAGCTAATTGAGGACTAATAAATTTCCCTGTGATGGGTGCTTATGAAATTGTATCTGCAATAAGTGAATTCCCTTAAAAAGTGTTGCCAGAAGATTAAATATAGTAAGGTGTCAGTTATACCTTCTATCTAGGGGAAGCTTAGAACTGAAGTTCCCATTTCTGTGCGTTTAAAGTCTTAACTAACATTACTGTAAAAGGGTTACTGTCTTCTTTAAAATGTTGTATTTTAAGCTAAGAAGTCTTTGTTACTCACAACAAAGCTGGTTAAACTGAAAGAAATTTCAAAATCAAACTTTTCAGTGTTGATTCTGTTCAGTTTCTTTCTGCATTTGTCTCAAAGTATGTCTACACATAAATTCTTAGGCATGTTTTTTAACACGTTAATTAACACAATTGTAAAATTTTAATGTAGAAATAAAGAAATGTTTGTTTCAGTACTCACATATTCATTCCTAGTCACATTTATCTGATTAAATGCAACTATCAGCAAACATTTGTGTTTTGTCTGTGCTAGAATTTACAATCATTTTTCATAAACATGTATTAAAAACACAACTGAATATTCAAGTTCAGACATACCATCAGCTTGGACAATGAAAATCAGTGAAATAATTGTCAGTTTCAAGTCCTCTATGCTGCACTGTTTGCATTTGAAACATTTCAGGTCAATTTGTTTGTTTTAAAACAATTGTTTGTATGTTTTTTTAAAACAAAAATTCCAGTGGATATATTTCTACTGCAGTGTTTACAAAATCGAAAATTTTAAATCTCATTTGTATTGGTGTTCCAGGGTATTGTCTTATAGTAGGCACCAATGTTTAAAACTTTTTTTCTTCCTGCTCCCATTCCTCACTTTCTTTTCCTTGAATAGTTTCACTATTTCTTTGTAGTATTTTACTAAACCCCAATCATCCATGACCCTCCCCTGCTTCTGTTACTTTTACAGATTTTTCTTCTTTAATTTTTTAGGGCTGTCAAGTGATTAAAAAAATTAATCGCGATTAATCACATGAATAAACAATTATAGAATACCATTTATTTAAATATTTTCAATGTCTACATTTTCAAATATATTGATTTCAATTACAACACAGAATACAAAGTGTACAGTGCTCACTTTATTTTTATTTTTGATTACAAGTATTTGCACTGTAAAAAACAAAATAAATAGTATTTTTCAATTCACCTAATACAAGTACTGTAGTGCAATCTTTTTATTATGAAAATTGAACTTACAAATGTAGAATTATGTAAAAAAAAAAAACTAGCATTCAAAAATAAAACAAAGTAAAATTTTAGAGCCTGCAAGTCCCAAGTTTGTTTACATTTGCAGGAAATAATGCTGCTAGCTTCTTGTTTATAATGTCACCTGAAAGTGAGAACAAGCATTCTCATGGCATTGTTGTAGCTGGCATTGCAAGATATTTACATGCCAGATGTACTAAAGATTCATATGTCCCTTCATGCTTCAGCCACCATTCCAAAGGACATGCATCCATGCTGATGATGGGTTCTGCTTGATAATAATCCAAAGCAGTGCTTACCAACGCATGTTCATTTTAATTATCTGAGTCAGATGCCACCAGCAGAAGGTTGATTTTCTTTTTTGGTGGTTTGGGTTCTGTAGTTTTCGCATCCAAGTGTTGCTCTTTAAAGATTTCTAAAAGCATGCTCCACACCTTGATTCTCTCAGATTTTGGAAGGTACTTCAGATTCTTAAACCTTGGGTCAAGTACTGTAGCTATCCTTAGAAATCTCACATTGGTTCCTTCTTTGCATTTTGTCAAATCTGCAGTGAAAGTGTTCTTAAAATGAACATGTGCTCGGTCATCATCTGAGACTTCTATAACATGAAATATATGGCAGAATGTGGGTAAAAGAATTCTCCTCCAAGGAGTTCTGTCGCAAATTTAATTAATGCATTTTTTTAATGAGCATCATCAGCATGGAACCATGTCCTCTGGAATGGTGGCCAAAGTATGAAGGGGCATACGAATGTTTAGCATATCTGGCACATAAATACCTTGCAGTACCGGCTACAAAAGTGCCATGCAAATGCCTGTTCCCACTTTCTAGTGACATTGTAAATAAGAAGAGGGCAGCATTATCTCCTGTAAATGTAAACAAACTTGTTTGTCTTAGTGATTGGCTGAACAAGAAGTAGGACTGAGTGGACTTGTAGACTCTAAAGTTTACATTGTTTTGTTTGAGTGCAGTTATGTAACAAAAAATAAATCTCCATTTGTAAGTTGCACTTTCATGACAAAGATTGCACTATAGTACTTGTATGAGGTGAATTGAAAAGTACTATTTATTTGGTTTATCATTTTTACAATGCAAATATTTGCAATCAAAAATATTTCAATTACAACACAGAATACAATAAATATGAAAATGTAGAAAAACATTCAACATATTTAATAAATTGCAATTAGTATTGTTTAACAGTGCGATTAAAACTGCAATTAGTCATGATTCATTTTTTGAATCGCGATTCATTTTTTTGAGTTAATAACGTGAGTTAATTGCGATTAATCGACAGTCCTTACTTTTTTGTTTATCTAGGTAGTCCAATTACTCTTAACGTATTTATCCTTGAGTAAAATGCACAATATGTTTTAATTGGTATTTTTAATGTATTTAATTTCCAATCAAAAGTAACTTTAAGTTGAAACAGTACAGCCTTTAATATTCTCTTGAGAGCAGAACATCAAATTCTAGATATTAAATTTTAAACCGGTGTCTTTTCCACAGTCTTGCATTGCCAAATTCAGTTGTCAGACATTCAGCTCTTGCAACCTGAACTGACAGTATACAGAGATCAACTGCAAAGTCTTAATGGCTGTGAGGCTTTCACATGTACTTGGAAATTAAAACAAATTTTAAAAAATGTTTTCTGTGGTTTCTTTTACTTCCTCCCATTGGCTTATGGATAGGCACAAGAGAAATCAAAGCTATAGTGGAGTGTTGACTTACAAGTATAATTGGAAACATATTTCCATATTCCTGAGTCACCTGCACTCTTTGGAACAGCTGCCATGCTTGTATCTAACCCATTTTAGAGAGAAGATTTTTGTATTGGATGAGTGGTATATACCTTTTATTTTCATGAGATATATTAACTGCAAAAATAAAAGGCATACTCTGTTGCTATAACTCATGTATTTTTACGGAGAGTAGAATGCCTAGAATTTCCATGCCTAAGAACAAAGTAAAAAGCAAAGGATAAAGCAGTCTTTATTGCACTGCTTCTGCATATATAGTTATGGCTGAGCCAGTTTCTAATACCTTTATTGTTGTTGGGTGACACCTTACTCCATGGGTAGACCTGTTGACTTCAACAGATTTAGGGTGTTGGCATCTGGGCCTTTATGATTTGACAAGCGTTATATTTGAGACGCAAATGACTTGTCAGTATTGGGAATTAATTTCTGCTCTGTTACCCTAATGGGTGCGCTTTTGGCTGGTTTCTGCCTTCCTTTTAAGTATCCAGCGTTGACCACTTTGTAAGAGTGTGTTTCTGCATCCTCTGTCTCTTAAGTGTGTTTTATGTTGTTGATCTTTCCTCCTTGTCTCACTTTACTCTTCTCTCCCAGCTGAGTTTCAGGACAGTTGGCCTAACTGTGCTCTGACATTAGTGAAAGTCAGGAGTGTTCCACTGCGGTTGATGGCGTTACCCCCGAGTAAAATTGGTACAATCAGAGAGATCAGAAGAGGTAGTCTGTGTCTGACAGCAGTAGGTACTGAACGTTTGAAATACCCAAATTACCCTGGCATCTGTAGCCAGACATACACCAGAGTTTATAACTATCTGTAGATGGTGAAAGTTTCTGGTGTTTCCTGATATCTTGTGCTCTTTTTCAGCACCAGTGTTGGTGCACACCGAAAATTAGATTCTGGAAACACCAGAACATGTCGCTGGATATGTCAATGTTAAAATCTACCATTTACTTTACAGTAAGTGTTGCCATCTATAAAACTGACCTGGGCAGCCAAGCCTTTGTTTAACATTAATCCCAAGAACTGTTTGCTCACTCACTGTACAAGGAAGCTGCTTAAAATGTTTTTATAATGTTGGAAAAGCTCCAAGATTAACAATAAATAGCTTGCAGAACAGTTTTTCTCAGACTTATCACATTATTCTTCCCTTATAAAACTGGAAAGAAAATGTGGTAGAAGGGCTTTGCTGGGAGGGGTATCTGATAAAAGTACTTTGGTAGGAATACTTTCCAGGCAGAAGTATCTTTTAAAAGAGAGAGGAAGAGGGGCAGTCTTCCCCTGAGAACTTAAAAAACCCAACCAAACAAAATTACAGAAAATATACCAGGTTGTTATGTTGATGATGTTGCATGTGGACAGTAGGAGGGTTAGGGCTAAAACCCAGGTAAGAACCTTAAGAGTGGTGACCTCCCTTCCCCTTCCCTATTAATCTCATGGGGTGTTAACTCTACAGCCAGATGCCGATACTTTAAATGTCAGTATTAAGTATTTAATTGCTGATAATTTTAGCAGATGGGATGGGAGTGAAGCCCACATGGAATTGAGATTTGCTGGAGAGAAGGAATTTCAGAGGGTAGGAAATAGAAGAGAGGAGAGAAATAGGAGGATGGGAAAGGAAGTGAGACTAAGGACAGAAATAATACTGGTCCTAAATGTGAAAATATTTTCTTGCTGAGTGCTGCTAGATGTGACAATAGGTGGACAAATAAAATTAACAACCAAGTTTAGTTGCACTAAACTATATTTCCTAGCATTGATCTTTGTGGAACCAACGTAAATGGGAGATTCAGTGTGGGCTGAGGGATATATGTAGCTTTAAAGTTATACAAAGCCCCACGGACCACAGTTAAATATAGAATGTATCCCTTCTACAGAATGAGTTTGACTCCCCTGTTATAGATATTGTTCCCCTCCCCCCCCAAAAAAAACCCCCATAGTTGTGGAAATTTAATAAGAAACTTAATCATATAGTAACATTGCTGCAAAGATGTTTTCATCTTTGCTGTTTGCAAATCAAAAAATCCTCTTTATCCTACAAGAGTAAATCGTCTTTATTCTAAACAGGTATTCATCTGCTACTGGTAGGTCTGTGCCTGCGTTTGAGTGAGACAGATACTTATACAGGTAGTAAGAAAAATGGAGGTGTGAGAGGGAGGAGTATTGTCTTACGGTGCCAGTGGTATGTTTCTTTTGTCCTATCATCTGTTGACTTTCACAATAAAATAACCTAGAGTTTTGACACTCTACATATGGAGTGTTACTAATATTGTGTTTTTTTTTCTGTAGGCACCACCTCCTGCGAGTGGAGATTCTGTTTCTGCAGAAGGTACAGTTTATTTTTACTCCAAATGACAACATGTATTTTTGTTTCATTTGCTGGAAAAAAAATGACACAAAAATAGATCAGTTGGAAAAAGTTTTTGTGAACTAAACATACTAAGCATGAGAACTGATGAAAATGCTTATATAGGGCCAGATTATGCTTCCCTCACTTCTCTTGAATAGTACCTTAGACAATGAGAAGTTCTATTAAGTCAAAGGGACTACTAGTCAAGTGGCATAAAGTACTAATACCTACTTGGTGTCGATAAGGGTATTGTAGTCTAGCCCGTGTCAGTCTAGAATTAGATGAGCAGTCATACTAATATTTTTCTGTTTCAGGAATTATGGAAGGCCATATTTATCCTTTTAAGAAATGTTGCTTTGATTTCTTCCTTGTGGTAACTTTAAAAATGAAACAAAACAAACTATCCAACAAAACTAAGCCAAACTTACTTTTTCAGTGTTAATTAAAGCAAAATTGACTTTCCCCATTCTTGTGGAACTGGTTTTCAAGTTAACAAAAATGATAGTTTTAGTTGAAGTACAGGACTCTGAACTAAGATTGTTCAATATGCTTTGTTTACTTAAAAAAAAAAAGCCGTTGACTTTTTAATGCCAAAAGCACTGTATGAGAGAGGAACATGCACTACTACAAATTGGAGGGGGGAAGGGAAAGACAAGAAGGAACTTAAAAGTCTAGTTCCAAATTCTTCACAAAATAACATCTGTGTAATCAATTTCATGGGAAAGCAAGTTGCATTCCTTTTGCCCTTATATGGTATGCCAATAAATAGCATTTATTTACTAAAATATTCCATCTCAAGCCTCTGACACAGAACTGGCCACAGTCTGCCTCATCTTTGATGTGTGCAATACATCAGGGCTGTACACTGTTGCAGGATGTAATTTTCAACAAAGTTGTATCACAAAATAAAATGTTTACTTTGGGGGCACTCTTTTCATGGATTGGTGATATGGTTCAAGGAACTGTATGTGTTTGGAAAGGAAGGATACGAAAGAAGCTGAAAGTGTAGACTACTGCATTTCCAAGTGTTTGCATCTGGTTATCCATGTAAAATTAATACCATTCTTGACGTGTATTTTTGTTTTAGTTGATGTGTGGCACTTTCTTAACAAGTGATCATCGGAATATTCTGAAGTCACATCATCAAATCTTAAATCAGCCCTTTTTTCCTGAGTTTTGAAGACAGGCTTGGTTCCTAATTGCTGGGTTCCTGTTGGAACAACTTTTCAAGTAACATAAACCCTCTATCATGTAAATAAACTGATATTTTTAAATTGTTTCCTTTCCGAGTGTTTCTTTGTGTGGAGTTTTGTTTGTTTCTACTCTTGAAAACTCTGTGGTTCCTTCTATCCATCCAACCTGTACACATTTACATCCTACAGATGTAGAGGTTGATTTGGGATGGTCTGATATACGGCTGAACATTAGAGCAGCCCTCAAACTGCTCTAACATAAGCCAGCTGCTCATGGCCCTCAAGGGGTTGCTCTGGCAACCAGGGGTAACAAGGGTATAGGGATGTCCTGGCTGTGATCCCTTTTAAATAGACAGTATCGCCTACACTGGGCTAAATGTCTATGCAAATATGCAACAGATCATGCCCATAATGTGTTCACATCCACAATTACCTATTTGCAAGTTTCACCTAGTTTGGGTGCAGCATATTTGCTTATTTAAAAAAAAATGATGAAAATAACAAGCACCTCAGAAAATTAATTGAATTAGGAAGGGCAAATTCCATGATGAAGCACAGCAAGGATGTGCAAACGTGTTCTGTGGAGTATAGTACATCCTGTTTTGATAATTTTTGAACTTGAGCCTCCAGGAAGGATTTTTACCTCTTGGCAAACTTTTCTGTTTAGAATTGTTCATGGTTGGGAGGCTTTTAATGCTTCATTATCCAATGGGTCAAGATTGGTAAAATTTGTGGAATTAAGCCTTGTATCTTTGTTAGGGTAAAAATACCTGCCAGATTTCCTGCTTCAATAGGCAAGGCCATGTACAGCATACTAGCATTTTTTCTAAAAAAAATTCCTATCATATCTCCACTGGTGGAACGGAAGGAGTGCTATGTAGACAAACTACTGGTGTTTTAACCACCATGTCATTGAGACCTACTGTGAAAAGGGTTAGAGGGCACAGTGATTAAAACAGTGGCAACATTAGCACTCCTCCGATTGCCACCACTTGCTGAAGTTGCATTGATGCTAGGGCAAGAGGGTGAAACTTACAGAAAATTGCTAGTGTAGACACAGCCTGTGAGACAGTGGTGCTAATATAAAGGATGAGACAGATTTATATTATCCCTTGTTACTCAGCAAATTCTGATTGCAAAGAGTCATTTAATTGGCTTAAAATCACTTTAGTAGTGTGGCCTAATAGATAGTGCTTGACTGGGACTCAGTAAACCTGGCTTCTATTCCTGGGCCTGCCACTGGCCTGATGGGGCACCCCTGTGCCTCAGTTTCCCCATCTGGAAAATGGGAGATAATCAGACTGACCTCTGTGGTAAAACTCTTTTTAAGATCTACTGATGAAAAGTGCAATATAAGAGCTAGGTAATATTATCATTAGCATGTCTTACATAAAGCTTTTTCATCATTAAGGCATATTGCATCTGACACAGTCTTGTACAGGAACTCCAGTATGGTCATTTATTCAGGGATCTTGTAGCAGAATGTGTTAGACCTATATATTCAGTGGCCACTGTTTGAAAATAACATGTTCATTCCAGTATCCTGGGCCCACATTCCTCCTCTTAATGTAATACCATTTGCTATAGGTGAGCTATTGTAGCCTACCCGTGGCTGTAACAATATCTGACATGGTCTTATAAGGTGAGTGAAGTAATATCTTTTATTGGACCAGCTTCTGTTGGTCAGAGACAAGCTTTCAAACCACACACTTCTTCAGGTCACGCAGCGCTCTGTGTTGCTCAAAAGCTTGTCTCTCTCACCCACAGAAGTTGGTCCAATAAAAGATATTACTTCACCTACCTTGTCTCTAATATATTGTGACTGACACGGCTACAACTACACTGCATACATGTCTGATAAAGCACTTAGGATCAGCTGGACTGTGAAAGGGTCTGTATAAAATCAAATTACACTCTATATGTCAGTTGTAATTTTTAAAAATTATTTTTGAGTCTCGAAAAGGAAAACATAGGGTGTAAACAAATACAAAGACCATAGGTGAAGTATTGGTTATAAATGAATACCTATGGCCTAACTATCGAAAGTAGATCCCATAATCAGTATAAACAGAATTTGTCAGAACTCCGTTCTTTAGCCCTCCACAAGGATTTTGGTAGCTTTTTATTAGTAATAAAATTCCTCACTAGATGAACCATAAGGAGCCAGATTGGAGTATTTGGGACTAAACTACTGGGGAAGGGAATAAAAGAGATTGGGGAAGTCTATTTAGACTGCAAGTAAATAATACTAAACTAGGAGAGTGGAGTGCTGCACAACTAAAATTATCTGCAATGTCTAGTGCTGTGGCAAATGTTTAAAACGTTAAAATATTTCATACATACAGAACAATACGATGATATGGCATTGTCTCTTCATACTGCTTTCAACAACTGCTTGTATAGTTTTCTAAAGTTTTGGGTTTTTTTTCCAGATGCGATAAAAAGACATGCAGTAAATTTTAGTTAGAAGGTTAAATGCTCCTAATAAAAATCTATTTCAGAAGTGAATAGAATGAAACGATTAGAAAAGTTGTGGAGAGGACATCTGCTTGTGAGAGGTGTAAGGGGAGGGGAGATAAAAACTCAGGAATAGATTTGCAGATCTCTCCACACTACAGACTTACCTCCTCTAAACAGTTCATCTAGTCAAAGCCTTCTCATATTCTAATAAGGAGCTTGAATGTTGTATTTAAAACTCAATCCAATATGGTGGGAAGCTTAGCTATTGTACAGCACCAGCCACTGCTCTGTAGCCATTACATATGAAAGCTGTTGGTAACAAATAATGAAACCCAAAACTAGACTATTTCCTGGAAAGGAGTCTTTAAGAGAATACATGTGTATTCTGCAAGCTATAATAAACTTTTGTGGGTGACAGGTCTATTGTATATTTCTTCTAAGGACAACTTTCTAGGAAAACACCAACTTAATTTAGGTTTGGAGGGGGTGCTTATTGTAGTGGTAAATGCTTCCTTTACATAAATAAGGCAGCAGCTGCTGTTGTAAATAATTGCTAAGCTTCTGATGACACCAAACCCAAGCCTCAATACCACAAATGAAAACAGGCTCTGAGTTTTACTTAAGTGGAAATAAGCATCCAATAAAAACATCACTTTCTTTAAAGTGTGAAAATAATAGGATTGTGAAAATGATATGCTATTGTCACTGTTAGGATGTTATTTTCACTGCGGTTACTAGCAGGAGACAGCCTTTAAAAAACAAAGTAATCGTGGCTTGAAGTGGATTTTTTAAGATTGTTCAGCGGTGGTACATGTGGGGAGCAGAATGCAGCTTTTAATCTTCATTCATTTGGGCTGGCCTACCGTAAGTGGCTTATGGCTGAGACTTGCTCTGTCGCTTGGGAGCTACCGCATGCAGCCATCCTAAACTCATCGAAGTGTTATCCCACAATTCTCCCTTGCCTTTCTCCAGACGGGGTCTTTTTTTTAATATGTTTAATTTTGCAGCGTTTGTTCAGTTTCACAAAAGAGGAACAATATTGTACTAAAACAGTGGTTTACAGAACAAAATCCTCTTCTCTTTACCAATGAGTTTAAGATGACGTCTTACAAGGTATAACCTGGGCCCAGTCCAGGAGTAGATAATAGGGGAGAGACCTAGATGGTGAAGGGGTGAAAAAGTTAATTGGAGGGAAAACAGAGGTTCGAACACAGATGGGAAAATTGAAGCAAATGTAAAATTAGAGACAACAAATCATAAAATAGGGATACAATGAAGTTGGGTTTTTTAGCAAATTCCCCAAATATTACAGCAATATACATGATATCTTCTTGCTGGCGATTTCAAGGGGACATGATTGCTTCGGAAGATGGAGGTTTGGGATGAAATCCTGTGCCATTGACTTCAATGGGGCAGGATTTCACTCTTGGTTGTCAATGGGACAGGAAGGGGAATAACATGCTTTGGTTGTATACGTTGGTGGAATTTACTTTTTGAATGTTTTAATGATTTGTTGAGTCTGAGATATTCCTGAATCTTTTCTGGACTTGTGCTTTTTTCTGTGCTGTAATTCATATACTGACAACATTACTTCACATAGATACCATGTAGGCTTATTGATTTATTTGCATACAGTCTTTGTTTTCATATGGCTTGTCTTTCTAAACTGCAGAAACTGGACTAGTGCAGTGTTACCTTATTGAAACTGCAGACAGAGTCTGTAGATATGACTCAGAAATGACTGAGTAGTAAAAACTCCCTGGAGTGTCACTTCTGAGGCTTTGTGGTTATTTAAATGTCAGAGTTAACTATTTGACTGCTGGTCATTGTAGCAGAAACACTCAGATATGCTGGGAATGTGGGCAGAGTTTAGGTGAAGTACCACACCTCGTCTCCCATATCTCATCTGACAGACATCACGTAACTGAACACAGTCATTCAGCAACATAAATCCGTTGTTGGAAGGTTTTTTGCAACCATAAGGGCTTAAAACTTAATCTAAAAAATGTGAAAGCAGAAAATGATGAGACCACTATTCAATGCATGAAATATCTCAGTGGCTGATAGATTATGCATAATGCCTTATAAGACCCATCAACTTTTCCCCTTAAGGCATGCTAATTGGATCTTTAGATTTTCTATATAAGTCACCAAATTCAGTACTAATTTTCTTGTCTATTTTCTTTGAAAGGAACTCTTAACTGAAATACTACTTGCAGTCCCAGACAATAATATACATACAAATTCATTTGTCCAGTTGCATTCCTTGTCCGGGAGTGTTGATATATTTGTGCTATTAGTGCTTTCTTGAGAATTGATAAGTCTGTCTACCTGTAGACAAAAATCCATTCTGAAGTGAAATTCCTAATTTATCTGTTTACTTGTTTATTTTGTGTTATAATCATTGTTAGTCGATCCCTAGAGCTTGTCTTTCAGTGCAAAAAGTCAGTGAAATGGCTGCACTTAGCAGAAAAGCCAGGTATTATCAAAGGTGTACTCTTTCATTGGTTCTTAAATAAGGATAGAGTTATAGGAGTGTTATGAAATTGGTCTGAATACATTTTTACCGTGTGCATCTGAATCTGATATCATCTGTTGCTGTGACAACAGTAAAAGATGTT